CATGTTGTATAACTCGTTAGAAACCCATCACAGATAAGATGGTCTCGTATTTCATCAATTGTATGTCGCCTCCCATTTAAACAGTTAACACAAGGACAATAAAACTTCTCATTCAAATCTGTTTGATTTCGTTGAGCAAATTCCAAAAATTGTTTATTCATCCAACTACGATCCATTCTACATCACAAATGCATGATATAGTTAATATGCGACATCTAACATTTATTTAATCTGCCAAGATCAATCCCTAAAATACACCTTGCTCAACACTATAGAAAAGGGGTTTACAGACTTATGCCTGTCATGGCCACAATTATATGATAGTTCTATTAGTTATATTAATAATAAGTGGAATTTTTAAGGGGAGAGGAGTTAAGAAGAGTCTGTCATTTGGTGACATACAATTCAGCTACCTAGCATTGTTGATTATGGATACAAGAATTGAAAAGATTGAGCACGGTGGACCATAAGCACTCAAGTAATTACTGGGTTCTACTAGAAATCGACTTTCTAAATACTGTTCTGTAATACTATAAGTGTGTGGGTAAATACTACTAGAATTTTCTGCTCATGCTAGAATTTGAGAAGAATCTCCTTTTCTGACATTCAATATTATTTCCAAATCATTTTAAATAATTTTAGTGCAATAGACAACAATGCAAAACATAGACCCAAAAAATAGTGATATTAAGAGATATACAGGAAATATGAACCAAAAGGCAAAGCTGAAACAAGCATCAATTCTCTAAAAACTCACTTGTGTTGAGGATTCACCACATTAAGTTTAGGCTTGATGTCATTTCCTGAAATATTAGAGGATGACATACATAAGACATACAAAAATCATTAATTCAATAATAAAATCACTCAGGAATTATACTGAGGTTAATATACTTTAGACTAGTCATCTCATGGGAATATTTTAACATCTTTGACACTGATCATATTTGTTGTGGAAATTTTTTCAAAACATATTTCGTTAAATTTTATTTTAATATTTATATAAGAAATAAGATTAGCTAATTTTATTATCATATGAGTAATTTTTTAAAATTATATTTTTGATTTTATTTTTATTTTTTTTAAGTTGATCTAATTAAAAATGAGACTTGGTGATTTGATTAAAGTTTATCAGTTGGTGATCTAAGCTCTGAACCAATTCTTTTCTTCTTTGGAAATTGTACCTGCATATAAATTTTGTATGATATTTTTAATTTTTTTATAATAGAAACTAATTTCACTCATAATAATGTAAAGGTTGTTAATTTTAATAATTTTTATCGATAATTAATAGATTGTTTCTATATCATGAGTTATAACAAAAATTATAAATGAATCCTTTTCAACATTTAAAATGCAACATAATCCGTACAGTTTAACTCTGGCTACTTTTATCCATAAACTTCATTACATTTTAATTGCAGAAAAACTTAAATATAAATATCAATCAATACCAACAGTGTAGATAGGGAGAATAAAATATAGATTCATCAGACACAATGGCACCATATTTACCTTAGAGAAGCAAGATAAATGAAACTTGCAAAATTTAAGACTTAAAAATTACAGCAATATATACTAACCACATAACCATCATCAAGTCTAAAAAGGTAACTGCTTCCAATTCCCATTTTCTCATATTGACGTTCACGTATATCAGATATCTGCGAGAGACAAAATCGTATCAGTTAATTAATCTAATATAAAAATGATTGTATTCAAAATACACCCTGGCATGGTAGTGATCAATTAAGATTCAAGATCAAATATTTAAAATAATTCAAAATATGTTTTTAAATAATAAAACTCCAAAATTAGAAATAAATTATTTCCTCGCCTTCAATGCACAATAGTTATTATGTTTCTCCAAGCTCTTGTCTCTCTAATTTTCAAAACCTAACTAGAAAAAAAACCATTTTGTTGTTCAGCCACTTCTTCTGTTCCTTTCTTCATACAAAACTGAGGAGAATTTTACCTTACAACAACACTACCATCCTCAATGTCAGTGCCAGACCATCCAACAAACAATTGCTCAATTCATTATGGGATTCTGATTATAAACTGTATCAATTGGGTGAGGACTCGCAATAGATTGCAATTTATGCAAAGTCCAACTACCATGACATCTAAATCAGTAAAACTTAAGCATGCATATGCAACTTCCTTTATAGCATGTGGATTTCCTATTTACTAATTTTAGCAGCTTGGATGTATTTCTGAATGAAATCAGCTTGCTATCTTTCCTTTATAGCAGGAATGCTTATCCTCTTTTAAATGGTGTGAAACTAGTTACAAGGTATTACGTAAAAGGTGATTTCCAACCACAACCTTAAAATCAAGCTACCCAACTCTGTTTTAATGTTTTGGAGTATATTTTTCACTACAACAAAATGTTAATCATATTATAGTGCACTGCATTTAAAGCAATAAGAGACTCTCGTCTGGAGATATAATATCATTCTTAAATCAAAAAGTAAGCTACTGATCCCATGATTAGCTTCACAAGCACACTGGACAATTTGGAGTTAAAACTTAAAAGTAGTTCAAATGATACTGTTTAAGATATGGTGGCAACTATTCCTATTTAAACATTCTTTTCTATATAACCGAATTCAAAAGGAAGCTAATTGAGGCAACAGTCATTCATTGGTTTAAGTTAAGAATTTTTAAAGTGTTTGTATTAACTTATTCTAAGTGTAAAATAGTTTAAAATTAATTAAAACCAAACAAGAACTAGATGCCTACTTTTTTTAACATAATGATTATAGACACAAATGCCTACTTTTTGTTGTTATTGGACATATTAACTGCAAAGACCCAATTTTTTTCTCCTTATGATCCTTTGTACTTATAAATAAGAATATATATGTATGTGTGCTCATTCCAGAACTAAGTTAAAAAATTACTGTATCAATTCTTCATTGTAGTTTGATTTCATTAAAGAAACAACTTTTATAGGATTAGTTCCTTCATTATTTTCATAGCTATTCTAAGTTAAAATGGATCCTTGTTATCCCTCATCTCTTGTTATCCCTTATCTAAAAAATGATCTTGCTTTGTTAACTAAGATCTTAGAGATGAGTTTGTACACAATGTTGCATAAACTGATCGATTGGAAATCACGTAAGCCAAACTGATAGTCTCTTGGTGGGATCAACACTAAGAGAGTACTAACAAGTAACAACACTCACATCAAAGTTTCTAGTAGCAAACACGTCTCCTACAAATTGCCAAACATTATTCCTAGCTTATTCCAAAATATCATAAAGAAAAAAGGGTTGGAACTCGTTAAGGCCCAGAGCAGAATATGATTGCATGTCCACAAGTGTTTGAAAACCCTCTTCTTTCGAAACAAGGTTAACTAATTTACCTTGGTTTTGTGAGCTAACACACATTCAAGTTCCAGTCCGAAAAATTTGTACTTATTATTTCTTTTGAACAAAATAGATCCTTGAAGAAATTAAGAGCTTCCACTCTTAGCTTTTCTGCATCAATACCCTAAAGGAAGCCAAAGCTTATGAATCTTATTTCATTTTCATTTGATGATCGTTTGATCATGGAAGAAGGTTGTATTTTGGTTCCCCTACTGAGCCCATTTCTCCCTAAATTTTTGGAACCAGAGATATTCTTCCAAGAATAAAATCAACTCACTCTTTCAATAAGTCTTCTAAAAGTGCACATAAGCAAGTTGAGTCAATCCTTTTGATCAATCATTGAATCCCTTTAAGAAGAGTCTCAAGCTTCTCCTTCTTTTTGAAAATATTCCCAAACACCTCCTTATTAAACGTGATAGAATCTTTGTTGATAGTGCCTGCAACACATCACCCTCCTTGTGTCATGCCTACAAAACAACCTGGGCATAATCTCCATGTGTACACCGGAATCATAATTATTTCTCCTTCTATCTAGGCATAAAATGATGACATCTTAGCAAGAAGGGATTACGATCAGTGTGCCTTCTAATGAAGGTTTCCATAAATGCCTCATGAAAAGTTAGTCGCTAATCATTGTCCCAAAAACCTCTATCAAGCCTCTTAAAGGTTAACATAAAAAAAATATCATCTGCCACATGAAAGAACCATTGAATGCTTCCAAGTCCATTACAGGGAAGTATTTAAACAATCTACAAAACTGGAAGCATGGAGATTTGAGAACACTCCATCTCGTTGCTCTGACAACAAGAAAATCTCATTAAAATGTTCCACCAACATCCAAGAATTGTTAACACATCTTTGAAAATCCTCCAAGTAACACCACCAGACTCTCCGAATAGAAAGATTAGGATTAGCATTAACCGCCAAACATAACCACTCATTCCTCCCATAGACTGAAGACCTTCATACTCCACCTTGAACCAGTTGCGTAACTAGACATGTCCCACAATTGGCTGATTCAAATTAATCTCAACACACATGTGCAATTCTCTTGCAAGACGCGTCAATAGTAAGAAAATTGTGATTTCTAATCATCAATTTATGCAACATTGAGTTTTTACTATTATCCTTTGTCAAACAGGAAAAATTAAAAGTAAAATATGGTTATTGGCATACTTCTTGGCTACTGCAGCTGTTCTTGTACCAGCTCCACTAATAGAGTTCAGATACTACACTATACCATTCTATTTTTTGGTGCTTCATTGTAACAATAGGGATGATCATAGTTGGATTCTCACAGACACACTATATATTGGTGTCAATATCTTTACAATGATGGTGTTTCTATTTCTTCCATTTCATTGGGATCATGAGCCTGGAATTCAAAGTTTATATGGTGATGCAATTCAAAGGCACACTATATATTGGAGGTGTTGTATATATTATTTTTCTAACTTGAGCATAAAACCAGCGGGTAACCAATTAATTCTAACTCAAATAATTGAATTACTTTTAGTTCAGTTCATTAAACTTTTAGAACTACAGTTTATCAAATTAGAAAATAATTTAGTTTAATTTTTCTAAACTATTTTCTAGTTTAGTTCAGTTTAGATGAACTTCTCTCTTAGTTTAGTTTAATTCTAAGGTAGTTTAGTTCAATTCAGCTCATTTGAACACCCTTTAACCATGATTTTATACAACATTTTTAATATGTTTTTATAGTTTTCTACAATCTTGATTCAAGGCAAGTTGACAGCTACTTTATGATTGCAAAGCTCACAATTCATAGATTCTGCTAGAACTCTCTGGCAGGCAAACAAATAGTTGATTGAAAATGGTTAATACTTTATCAAAATCCACACAAGAAATTGGAAATGAAGCAGAACCAAATTTCCAGTATAATAACAACTAGTAAATTAGTACATGTAACATTTTATCATTGTTGTCAGTCCACTTTTTGAAGTTTTGTAATAGTTCACAGATATGAACATCAGATAATAGAGGACTTAAATATTTAAAATAAATTAAAGCGCATAAAACAAAAATTTGAACAGATCAAAGTTCTAATGATACCTGTAATTTTAACACTCTGGTGGCACTTCCAATCAACTCTGCTGCATGTATTTGTTCTAATGATAGATAGAATGCTCTTCAAATTTCTCACGGGTATTGTGCTCCTGTAAAAAAATGAGCCATGAATGAAACACCTTTAAGTATAATGCATAGAATTGAGGATTGACCTGACATTCAGATTCAGAACAAAAAAAAATTAAGCCATTTTTGATAAAAAAAATTTTAATAGCCAAAAGCAAATACACAATTGAATCATACACCAAATATGCACGCAACTAAATAAAGCAAGGAACCAAACTTTTGTTTATTCATTATTTATTTTGTCTAAAAATTTAAAATAACATAACAATGCACAATGTTAGTGTAACAGTAAATATTGTAATGTCAAGAACTAAAATACTTCAACAGAGAATCTTATCTTGCCCTAATATTTCCAAATTTAAACTGAAAGGAAAACTTTAGGAAGATAGAAAATATACTAGAAAATAAATTCTCTCAAAATCTCCCACAACACTATTATCGAGTTGTTGAACAAAGTTGTCTCGGAACCCACTCAATAGCTCAACAAAACAAAAAAATGCGTCAAAGGGAACTGTTGAGCAGTTAACCTAAACAACTTCATCACCTTGTTTCTTCACAACTGCAAAGGGAAAAGCCTCCGGCCTCCGTTGTTTCTTCGATCCTATCCCATTTGAAACGCCTCCAGCCTCTGTTGTTTCTCCGCTGAGAAGCCACACGAAACGCAAGAGGATGAGAGTTCTCGGAGGGCCGTCGCTGAGAGGTTGCACGCAAGGTTGAGAGAGAACATGAAGGAACTGAGAGAACATGGAGAGAACTGAGAGAGACGTGGAGACTGAAGGGCGCGCATGTTGAGAGAGAATCCGCGCGGGTTGGAGAAATTTCGGGTTCATATCTAAGTCGGTTTTAGAGAAAAAACATCGTAAATCACAAGGGTTATCCAATTCTACTACGGTTATAATGTGAACCGTCGTAGACTATGTTATCTTTATTTACAAAATTGTCACCGCGTCTTATTCTACATTATTTTTTAGAAAACTGACTTAGATTGAGCGACTTAGATAATCCAATTTGTAGTAGTTTGGAGACCAATCAGGCTACATGATGGAAACTTAATCCCCAAGGATCCATTTGGAAGAGGTAAGACCAAG